AAAAAAAAAAAACAAAAGCACCAAAATGATCTTATGTACAAAAAAGAAAAATCTAAGATGTGTTACTGAGTGGGATGCCACATAGATGAGCTCAGTTCTGGAAAATACTTTAGAAAGAGATGAGCACCAACAAGTTTTTCAAAGCCAGTGGTGCCTATAGGGAATAATTTGAAGAAAAGAGGGGCTCTCCAGTATATAAAGGGGAAAACTGTTCAAAACAGGAAAATTGACATGGGGGCAGGGTGATAGAAAAAAAGGAAGGAAGAGATCCAATTTTAGAAGCAGCCACATGAGTATCTCTGAGAACGGGAAAAGTACAAGATGTCCTGTGAGGTGCTGTTATTTGAGCTCTGAAGGTCAGAATCAGAGCTGAAGCTTCAGAAAATAGGACGAAGCAATTGCCAGGAACTGAATGCAGGTACTGAGGGGAGGCTGCTGCTGGTGGGAGGCTCTGAAGGGTGGATGAAAGAAGACGAGGCAAAGGCCACAGGTGGTCACTAACTGGTTGCTTGGCTTTGCAAATTTTACTGTCATTACATCATTTGTGCAACTTTTATTTCCATCTGATTATGATACACAGTTGTGCATCAGGCAGACCCGAAGGTGGCCCCGTCATCTGTACCTCCCAGTTTCCTGCTGCTGTGCCTTCCCGTCCACTTGGGTGTGGTGGCATCTGTGACTTGCTTCTAACCAATAGAAAACAACAAAGGAGACAGGAAGCACATGACCGCATATACGAGCTTACATACATGCAGTCAGACTGAAATATCCGCCTTGCTGAAAGTGTGTCTCCTTTGCTGGCTTTAGGAAACAAGCAGCAGTGTTGGTATGAACCAGGGAGCTGGAAACCGAGGCAGGAGGAAGCCGAGCCTTCCCTGGTCGAGTGTCCACGTAAGCTTAAAGACCTGCAAAGGTCAATGTAAGCTTTATAAAGTTTTGTATACATGTATTAGCTATCTATTGCTGCATAATAAATTAACATAAACTTGGAGGTTTATAACAGCACACACCTATCTCAGAATTTCTGTGGGTCCAGAGTGGAGGCACCACAGAGCTGGGTCCCCTGCTCAGAGGTTCATATGGCTGCAATCAAGGCTTCAGCCTCACTCATAGAAACTATGTGATAATAAGTGATGTTGTTTTAAGCCTCCAAGTTTGTTTATTTGTTATGCAGCAATCGATAGCTAATACATGTATACGGAGCTTATTAAAATTTCATTAACCTGTACAGGTCATTTAATACTCCTCTCAATTTATCTTTTCTTCAAACTCTGCTTTGTTCTCCCTGAGGGATAACAAAGTCCTAAATCAAGAGTTTACTAAGAAATCGATCTCACCCTCTTTCCTTTGTGCTTGAAACATAATTGTAATCTCTTTCAGATATTTTTTAAATTGTATCATAAGGTGTGAAAGGGAAGGGACAGGCTGCATTCTATCTGCCCAGGGTCAGAAATGGAGGAGAAAACTCACGTCTGTATAGAAGCCATTCAAGTTGTATAGAGTCTTTATTTCTTAAGTAAATTGTTTCTGTTTTCACACTAGGACAAATGAAATTCTCATAATTTAAAATGAATGTGGAAAAATCTAGTTGGTTTGTTTAAAAATGCAAATTGGGTGCTAAACAGTACAGATGGTTCTTTGTTCAAAAGCAATATAAGGAGCAGCTAAAAGCTAAGGAGGGCTGAGGGGGTCACTTTTGATTTTATTCTTTGCTCTATATTCCTTGACGTCAACGCTAGTTTATTATCATCCTATTTTGAAACCAATCATATTTTCCCATTCTCTGAATGGAAAATAAGACAAACAAAAAGCTGTACTCCATCTTTGTGTTTTGCAGTTCACAATAAATTGCCAAAGCAGAGATGAAAACACTGCCAGAGGTTATCTTTTCTCCCCCAGAATGATCTAAGACTGGCATGATCAACTATATGCCACAAACAGAACTCTGCAAGTGAGTACATAGGCTTTCTGGGAGGATCTACTGCTGCTCATAAATGCCAGCATACCCCTAGCTTTCATTTAGCTGCTACGAAACCCAGAGCTACAGTTGGTGTCCTGCTCTGTAATCAAGTATGTCCAGAATGAGATATTATTGATTCCTCTGCTCCTTTGGCTTCATTTCTGTCCTCTTGATATTTTTAATTGTCCTCTGTTTTATATTTTATTAACCTTCATCAGCCAAAATTTCTGAAGTGAAGCAAAAATTCCACGGAAATGAAATGTCCTCCAGTTCTTTTATAATCACAAAACATGAATGTCAGAGCATTCGTTGAGATTCAGTGAATGATTACTCAACACCTTTTTTGTGCCAGCACCATTTTTAGCATCTTCCTACATGTTACCTCATGCAATCCTAGCAACTCTCATTCCCACTTAAAAAAAAAAAAACCTTGATGTTCAGACAACATATGTAATTTACCCAAAGTCTAAAACTAGCAAATGTAAGAAAAGGAATTTAGACCCAGCTTTCTGCTGCCTCATTTTTCTTTCTATTGTATTAGGCAGTTTTCCCTCTTTAGCTTAGTGGAGTCTTAAAGATCATGTAATCCCAAATCCCCCAATTAAACAGATGGGCAAAATGAAACTCAGGGGGTCAGGTTGGGTACCCAAGATCACTCTACTAGCAAATGGAAGATGGAAGACTTGGGATTCGATCTCCCAAGCTTTCTGCCTCTGGGGCCCACAGTGTTGGCTCTCCCCAGGCCCTCTTTCTTACTGCACTCTTGAAGTTTCATCCTCCCCATCACCCTGACCTCTGGAGTCATGTTGCAGATCTCACCACCTTTACCTTAATGGTTTGGTGGTCAGATCCTGCAGATGAATTTCCAAACCAGTAAGTAGTTCCAGCTCTGAACTTCACCCATATTGCCAATTTGCATCTTTTATTTCCAAATGGTCATTGATTCAAATAGTCAAAACTGTTATGATGTATTCATTCAATTATTTAACCAATATTCACTAAGTGACTTCTATGTGCCAGACACTCTTCTGGGCTCTGGAAATGAACAAACATCCCTGCCTTTAGGACACTTATTTTCTAGTGTTGAAGACAGGCAATAAACAAGTTGAATAAGAAAATGATAGTGTTAAATAATTTAAGAACTAAAGAGAAAATATAAATCAGAGAGAGGGATATAAAGTGCCAAAATGAAGAGCAGAAATTTTAGGGAGTGGTCAGGGAAGATCCCATCAAGAAGGTGATGTTGGGGTAAAAGCATATAAGAAAGAGAGCAGGCCATACATGTATCAAGGAGGAAAGTACTCCAGAGAGAGGGAACAGCAGGTGCAAGTGTCCTGAAGCAGAACATGCTATTTGAGGAACAGCTAAGAAACGGGTGTGGCCATCACAGAATGAACAAGACAGGGAGAGAAGTAGGAAATAAATTCAGAGAGGGAAGGAAAGGAGCAGCTTTTGTGGGTCTTTTAAGTCACTGTAGAGTCGAGTTCTGATTCTGAGTGACATGGGGTGTGATTAGAGGGTTTTCATGGGAAGTGGCATCATCACTATGCTTCTGAGATGGTATTAAGATAGGCTGAAGCGGGCAGGGGCAGAAACAGGACTGCTTACTCACTTCTAGCACAGTGCCTGACACATACCAATGCGCAGAATTAAATGTTTAACAACTGAATGTTGTGAAATCTATTGATTTTTTATGATTTTCCTAAATTAATGCTGCCTAAATCTAAAAAATGCTTTCTAAATTTGTTGTGGGAATTAGAAATGGACTTACCTACCATTACATTACAAAGATATTAACTTATATTTTCTTCTATTACTTTTATAACCTCATTTATTAAATTTGAATTTTAAATGATCTGCAATCTGTTGTGGTGAAAGGAATATTCTTAGGAAGCCAGGTTAATAATATTTCCAAATAATTATCCAAGCTCCATTCAGTATATAATCCTACTTCTCCTACTGAAAGCCTGGTGAGATTCAGTTCTTATTCTGATGAAAATCTGAGCTATTAACTAAACCTATTCCTTATGCCTACTTTGCCATGACATCTATACCCACAAATGGAGGCATGCATGTGCCATACTAAGGTGGTTGATTAAAGATCACTTACTGAAGTACCCAATAACACAGTGTATTTACCAGTAACAGCTATGGCTCTTCTTTTCCTAACCAACAATTACTTCCTCTGATTAAAAAACTGGAAGAAAGAAACAGGGACAAAAAGGAACAGAAAGAGTCACAAACTTTCTTACCATCTACGTAGGGACAACCTAAAGTGATTAATATCACATATACCTCTTTTGTAGAGGGTAAAAAAGCATTCAAGAACTCAGGAAGAAGTAAAACCGTTTTCTTTCCCTCCACCTTCCAACTCTTTGAAACACTTCCTTTTTTAAGTGAAAATGAGAGAGAGAAAAATGATGTAAACAATCCATCAGGAAAGAAAGCCGATTGTAGTAGTAGTCAAAAAATTTTAATAGAAAGTCAATAACCAGCATTTTCAAAGTTTGGAAGGCTGGAAGGAAGTCAGGATCCAAAATTTGGGTTGAGTTCTGTAACCAGATATTTGCCCAGAGAGTAAGTTTGTCTTACAGTGTTAGGGTGATTTCTTTTTCTCTGCTCTGAAGAGAGGGATGCCTGAATGTCACCTGGGGTATCCTAGGGAAGGCGAGTTACTGAATGTAGGACTCTACAAGAGAGGACGAGGGTGCCCAAAGGCCCTAAATTTAGCTTCTCTTGGAAATAGAACAGGTAGCATGCCATTGTCCCAGGAAGGATATAATCAGACATCCTGAGTTCTGAGGATTGTAAAGGAAAAGCTGCCAGGTCCTGAAGGGAAACATTCTCCTTCTCCCACAGGGGAGGGGACAGTGAGGTCACAAACAACACTGGTATGATACCAAACCCCATGTCCCTGGGGTGACTGGTACTTGGGAGGTGCCTGCACGTGGCTTTGGAAAAGCTGGAGCCCAGGAGGTCAGCACCCTTCAAAGAACAAGAGTGGACAATGGAGCGCAGACTCTTTCAGTAAGTGTTGAGCAGAGTGATCTATCGAACTGCGTACAACTGGTTTTCCAGAACCCCTACGGTGGGATCATGAGAGATAACAGCCAGAACAATTGATAGATGTCCAGCGCATTTTTCTCTGGATGAAGTCAGACCGAAGACCATATAAGCCCCAGCAGCTCTGAGTAATTCAAGAAGGAATTCCTAGATTTCTTGGAAATCCTAGATTTCTTGCTAGTGTGTCATATATCATGTAACTGAGAAAAAGAAATATGATCACATCTGGACCCCACGGTGACAATCTCAGTCATGCTTGTTACTTTTAGAAAGGGACTTTTTAGACTGGAGTTAGGAATACAATTTCTATTTGTTAATTGAACTGGTAACAGTGATGAGTGACAAAAGGGCCAAATTATATTTGCCTTTTCTTCTTTAAATTTTGGTCAATCATTATATGATTCAGGGTGGGGGGAGTGGGTGCAGTTCATTTTCCTTGGGTTTAACAGTTTAAATATATAAAAATTACCTTAATAGTTTAAAGGCCTAATGAAAAAGAGTTGCTCAGATTGGGATTGAAGGTAAAAATTAGCCTCAGTCAAATTTCCATTTACCTGCCAGCAGCCAGTTCTAATTCTAATGAAAGTAAATATCCAAAGACATTGAAATTGTAAGTCCAAAAACAAATGTGGCTATATTTCCAGAGAGTGAAAAATAGTCTAAAATGTTTGATCATAGCCCTCTTTTCCCACATAAACTCTGATGATGTCTTTCCGGGATTTTTATTATCTTTCTATTCTTTTCCTTCACGATTAAACCCACAGATAACCAGCATACCTTGATGCTAAATCTACCATCTTTGTCTCAAATGTACTAAATTTGTGAAATTTATCACCGGTATGAATTTTTATTTTTTTGCTTCATTTTCTACCCACTTTTCTGGAAGGTTAAAGAGTAAAGATGAAATTAAATACCCAAATAAGTACATAAATACCGTGGAGACAAAAACCTAGCAACTCTGTCCAAACCAAGCTGTTGCCCGGCAGGCAACACCCTTTGCTCACAGTCTTGACTGGCTCGATGGTACATGCAAATCCAACGTGCAGTCTGTAGGGCCCTCTAAAGGTATCACGCACAATTTTTGGAAGAATGTGTTCAGCAACAGTCATATATGTGAGAGACAACACACAAAATGCAAAGGTAAAAAAAAAAATCTCTGGAGGATTCACGTGGTAAATCGGAACCGTCAAGTGTCTAGGCAGGAGCTGAGTAGCCGGCATGTAACTGAGCACAGGAGAGTTTGGCCATTTCTCCCGCCTGCTCTGTAAGGCCAGACTAGCTCAGGCTCCAGCCTGAGCTGAGGGGAGAGTCAGTCCACCCTTCCTGGTTCCCCCACCCCTTCGGTTTCTCTCCCACCTCGGAGCCAGACTAAGGTACACGACCCGCAAAGGGCAGGCTCCGAGGACCCAAGGTGGACCTGTGGGACGCCAACAGAGTCCGCTGTGAAAGTTCTTCACGTCTTAGAAAGAACTGGAAACCGGGAACATTTTCTCTGACTCCATTAGCAGAAAAAATGAAATCGGTAATGAAGCAGAAGCACCATGTCAATTGCTTTAAGTTCACTCACATTTAACATTTCACACACCATTTACAGTCCAGTTCTCTCTCCACCGAGTGAGAAAAGAGAGCGGTGCCCTTCGGGGCTGAGCAGGATGACTGGCTCTCTTGGAAGTGCCCCCCTCTCTCTCACTCCGCCCCTCCCCTCTTCCCTCACTCAGACGAGAGGTCTTTGTGCCCACCGAAACCGTCTGTGGCCCAGTGACACTGCCACCGCCCCCCTAAGCACCAAGAAATCACACAGATCCTCCGTTATGAATAAAAAAGAGCAGTAATCCTCCAGCAGAGCCCTACTTAGTTGCTCAGGTATCTCTGCACCCTCTGCAGAGCTTGCCCTGGAGTTCTGGAGCCACCATTGCCTGTCTTGACCAATAAGCTTTAACGGGAAGCACTGGTTTCACACAGACGCCTTCCAAGGAGATGGGCCAATAATTTCAAAATTTTTTGAGTGACTTCTCTCTTCCAGACTGTTGTGGGCTGAATTGCAAGTCCCCCTTTAAAAAATTCTTATGTCAATATCCCAAGCCCCAGTACCTCAGAATGTAACCATAGGTGAAGATAAAGCCTTTAAAGGGGTGCCTTAAGTTGAAATGAGGCCATTACAGAGTGAGCCATAATCCAGTCTGACTGGGTCCTGAGAAGAAGAGGAAATGTGGACACACAGAAAGCCACCACGGCTGGGTGTACACAAAGGAAAGACGTGAGGAAGCGGCAAGAGGTTGGTCATCTGCAAGGCCAGGAGAGGTCTCGGAGGCAAGCAACCCGGTAGGAATCTTGCTCTTGAGCCTCCAGTCTCCAGAACTGAAAATAAATCGCTCTTGTTTAAACTCCAGTGTGACACACAGGCAGTGTTCTGAAGAAGTTACGTACATGAACTCAGTTCATCTTCAGCAACCTACGTGTGCATGGAGTCGGAGGAGCATTATTAACAGTGGCCTGGTTCCAAGCCTAAGCTCAGCTGCCCATCACCTCCAAAGCCAAAGCTCTAGAGACAAGGGCTGGTGAAGAGCAAAGATTGCTTTCTTCAGGAGTCTGGCGCCCTGGGGAGAGGGTGGACTAGTGTCCCAAGACGGTCTCCAAAGTGTGGTTCAGAGTGAAGGCGTCTTCAAGTGAAACTTCAAGGAGGCAGGAGGGGGTGGGTATAGAATGGACAAGTTCATCAATGGCTCCAGGGCAGATTTGCTGTCACTGGTGCCAAGGTGCTGCCTTAGGAATGGAATGATCTTCCGTCTGTCTCCAGGGAGGTTGCTCCAGGCAAAATTCCTGAAACTCAGAAAGGTCTGCGTAGAGGGCAACATGGAGGGAACTATTAAACTTATTTCAAAAGTGAGTTAGGCTTTGCTAGAACCTCTAACATTAGTATCCGTTGGCAGACAAAGGAGCTAAAGCCCAGAGCAGTTAAAAATAGGGATTAGGTGGAAAATAAGTGATGAAGCTGCGATTTAAATGCGTGTACTCCACCCCCAGAGGCCACATACCAGCCCTCCACTGTGTCCTGTGTCTCTACATTCAGAGGACCCTTCCTTATACACCAATGTTTCTCTTGCAGTCTTTAAGGAACAAAGAAAAATTTTTATTCAGTAAAGGCATGGGTGATGGTGTCTGGAAATAAATAAGTAAAACACCTCCTGTATCCTCATGACACTTTCAGTTTCCCTTAAGATGAGTTTATCAGTGATGATTCTTCATATAAGCAGAAACTCCAACTCCACCTGGCTTAATTTAAAAAAAAAAAAAGAAAGAAAAGTGACATGCTCCCTGCCTTCTTCAAATTCTCTCTCAAGCAGACAAAATGGTTGCTGTGATTACAGAGGTCACATATTCATATCCTTTAGAGGTAATGTAATTCCAGAGGGAAAATATGTTCCCAGCCCAGAGCAAATTACCTTTGAAGCCTAAATCAGTCAAAGGGAGAAATAAAGTGAGAGAAACCCATTTATTGCTTACAAGCAGTGGTCCACTTATACTTGCCTCTGTCTCTTGTGACCCAGCTGCCAAAAGGGGACCCCACCAAACCTATCTGGTCCAGATATACCCTCACTCCCCCCACGCTTGTAATCACCTATTGATATGGAGATGGCTACTTCCCTCCACCTCTGGGAAACACCTATTGATATAGAGATGCACTAAGGCTAGGCCAGAGATTCTGGAAATACTGCAATTTTACCCACACAGGGGTACGGAATAGAGTAGTTGTTTTAAGACAGCCAGGTTCCCACTCAAAACACAGAGCTGAGGGTCTCAAAATGGAGATGTGGGAGACTTTTCAAAGCCTTATCAGCAGTTTCCAGAGGTGGTGGGGTCAGGCGTAAGGGGAAACAATTATTGTTTAATGGGTAGAGTATCTGTTTAGGACGATCAAAAAGTTCTGGAAAAAGATGGCTGTGATGGTGTACAACATTGTGAATGTACTTAATGCCACTGAACTCTACGCTTAAAAATGGTTAAAAGGGCAAATTTTATATTGTATATATTCTGCCACCAAAAAAGAAATTAAAATAATTTTTAAAATAAGATTTGAAAAACTTCCTTAATACATTTCACTTCCACAGCAACGGAGGCAGTTGGCATTTCATCCATAAAGTGCTTCTGCCATTGCAAATAGCCCTTGGGAGCCCTCCCTAACCACGGACCCAGTGCCAGGGCCGAGCCAACGGGCATGTAAAGAAACCTGACAAGTGTCAACAGAGAGAATCATGTTCAGGTTGTGCTGAACACTGACTTGTGACTGGGCTCAGGAAATTTGGTGCCATTCACAAGAGCAGAGAACCCTTATCTTGGACTGCTAGAGATTTCAGACGGGGTGATAATTAAGGTCAAATCAATTATCTGTGGGCTTCCTTCTAATATTTCTAGAGGGCTTTTTCGTGTACAGAGGAAGGAAGCAAGTTCTAGCAGGGGCAACACTGACAGACAAGCGGGAAGTGAGCTGTGGCGTCCGCTTGCTCCGGCGGTTCTGTACAGTGAGTTCCATACCCAGCACTGTCAGCAAAACCTTCCAGAGAGCAGACTCCTTACTTCCGACAGCTGCAACAAAGATAAGCAATTGCTCTGTGATAAACGCCGCTGGGTTGCGTCACCCGCCCGGCAAACGGAAACCAGGTCCTCGGCGGCCATCTAGCTGCAAGGTGAGTCTCAGTCATGTCATCTGCTGAGTCGCAATTGTTTAACAACAATGAATTTAGGTCCATTACGCCCAGCGTCAACTTCAGAAAGATTTTATCACGCCTGCTTTTTGTGCAGCTAAGCTGGGAAGTGTGGGCTGTCACAGACTGAAGCAGAAAAGGAATAAATTTGCATGTTACTGGGACGGGAAGAGCCCCTTGATGGCTGGAGAGGCAGCTGATGCTGTCAAGTGCGGGCATGCACCAGGTATCTGCCCTGGGTGGCTGACAGCCAGCGCTTTTAGAGTCAACATGGAATCAAAGAGTTAGGACTATCTCAAGTAAAGTGTCAAGAACACAGAGAAGCCTGAATCTTGATAAGAGGACACCTCGGAGGAGAGAAATGCACAGAAAGAAAACGACCTTGAGTCTGTATAATGTTACAAGAATCAGAATCGTAAAACGCCTGAAATGGAAAGAAAATGCACAGCTCAAATAAGAGATTCAGACTTGAAAAGGTTGGAAGTTGTACGCTTGCCACAAAGGCAGAAGAAATAGGAACAATAGGTAACTGCAGGGTTATGATGGAGATAACATTTCTGTGCTCAAGGCTTACCATCTGCTAGCTTACCTAGGCCTGTGACTTGAGGCATCAACACGTGTGTTTTCACTGAGCCCGCCTCTGTGGTGTGAAATGCAAGACTTTTGAAATAATTTTGAAATACAAATATTTTTTAGAAGGAAAAAAAAATGATCTGTGGCAATAATCAATTCAAAAATTTCTATTTAAAGAAGTAAATAAAAATACTGGAAATGAGACTAAGTGAAAACACAAATAATATATTTGCTGTTTTGGAAATTAAGTTTTCAGCAAAGTGTGCACATATATATATATATTATATTATTATAATTATATATTATATAAATATATAATAATATATTTATTAATAGGGAGCAAATGAATGCTTCTCCTCAAAGGAAGACTGCCTATTCTGACAACATTTTAAGTGTTTTGAATCTCACTTCTCAGTTTCTACTCTTTATTGTTATTGTTGTTGTTGTTATTATTATTATTATTATTATCTTTTTCCTAGTCTCCATAAAAACAGCCACTGTCACCATGTCTGGACTCCTCATTTGGAAAGCGCCACCAGAGCAGAAGAATACAAGGACCAGCTGGAAATCAGAGCCCCAGTTTTCCCACTAAACCAAACTTCTCTGAATTAGCAAACAAGTGCCCTGCCTGTGTTTCCTCTCTAATCTTTACTTGGGTGTGCTGCACACTAGAAGGAAAACTTTGCCGAAACTAGATAAAGATCATGTTTTCTTTATTATTTGAGTCCCTTTTTCAATCACCTAACCTAATATGAACCACGGGGAGCACCCAAATAAACGTGTCCTTTCTCCATTAGCCCAGGCTCTGACTCTCTGTATCTGGTTTCAGTTCACTGGCCCAGTATTTTTTCTAAATACTTCCAAAAGCATTTCCAAAATATATTCGCTTCTCAACAGGAATTTTTAACTGAAAAAGAAATTTCCCTAATCTCTAACTGTAGAATGACCATATAAATAATATTATATGATAATTATGCCCTGTGTGAATTTGACAAGCATAAGAGCATTTTGCCCGGCAGCCTGAGATGTTCCCCCAAATTTTTAGGTTTTGCTGTTGAACATTTAACATTTCAAAATACATTAAAAAGGAAGTTTCTAAGAGGCTTCATATTTGATTGCCCTCCTGCCCAAGGTTTCCTTCTACATATTGTGTTTTAGCTGTGCTGATGTCTTGAATTCATGGCAAAATCTTCCGGCATTTGTTTTTTCTTGGATCCAGGCAATTAACCACAGTAGAGAAGAGCTTGAAGAACTCGGCCACAATGTGCAATTTTCTAATAAAACACAAGAGGGCAGGTTTTGCTTTATTGTAAAGCCTAATTCTGATCTGTTAATTAGGATGGTCATTGTTCTAATTACAAATTCAGAAATGCTCAATAATATACAAAGGGAATGAGGAATAAGAGCATGTACCCCAGCAGCGAAAGTTCTACTCTTAATAGAAGAGGCACAAACTTAAGCCTTTCTCCAAGCCATTATTTACAACACAAAGAACAAGTGTATTTGGGAGATGCTGCTACCTTTAGTTTGTGTTTATGAGCGGCCAAGAAGCAGAGAATGGTAGAAGAAGAAAGGGCCAAACTCAATCATATTACATCCAAGAAGTCTAACTTGCATCAGCGTGGCAAATAACACAAGCAGGTTAATGGTTTCCGCCAAGTACAGTCTTGGTGAAAAAATAGAAAGCCTATAGGCCTTGAATAGGAATCTTGAGTGTTTGTTTTGTTTTGCTTTAGAAAACTTTAACTTATTCTACTGCTCACAATTTCCTTGTGTGTTGTTTTCAAGATTTCATTAAGCCACCTGCCAAATCATAATTAAATCCACAGGGGTGGTGTTCAGCTTGAACGTCATGGTCGCTAAAGTCGGAATCATGCCATTTAGGGAAGAGTTTAACTCTTGGGTCCAATTGCACAAGAAAAGTCTTGGTTTGCCTTCCTAAATAATTTGCCCCCTCACTCCTCTCACTGAAATGAGACTTTAACACCTTAGAGAGTGGAGAACCCTAAATGATACTGTGGGATCTTAATTTTCTATCCTTGTCTCTATAATTGGTAGAATTAAGGCCTCCCTACCAGGGAGAAGATATGCCCAATAAGAAAATATGGCTGAAAAGCGTCCCCTTGTATCACGTAGCACAGAGTAAAATTTTACCTAACATATGTAAAACTCAGAGACCCAAAGATAGGTTGTTATAATTTCATGGTGTGGATGCAAGACCCCACTAACTTAATGTTTTATTTGGTATATGTCAAAACAGATGCCAGAAGCCCTGAATGCAAAGTTATTTGAGATTAGTTTAATCATGCAAAAAATATACAGAGAGTATTCAGGATAAGCAAGACCCTGTAGAAATAGGAAGAATCCAAAATTGGGTTTTGCTGTTGCACTGGGGAGAGTAATTATCTACCACTAGGGGATGAATTGGCTTTTATGTGCTTGTATTATTAGTTAACCACCCACATTTTCTGAGATCTTAATGTGCTTTGATACAATGGCATTGGAGCTGCACAGAAAGATACATAACCTGACTTCCAGAAACTTCAAGTCTAGATGTGGAAGCAAACACACGTAACCAGGACTTAGCTCTAATTTCTGGGGTCTTCCTCTGGGGTTCCCAACAAGCTGACTGACCTGGAAGACTTTCCAGAAGGTTAGCTGCTGCAGAAACCCATGCTACCTCCCCTGCACCTCAAGATAAGTCTTTAGGCTGTGCAGACATCAAAAGTAACTCTTCACTGGGAAAAGGTTGGTGTCTCATTTTTCTACCTATATATCATAGAAAGCCAGGAAGTAGCAATTAATTAGAAATTCAAAAGAAAGCAGAAACATTGGTTTATTCAAGAACTTATTTTCAAAAGTGAAGTAGTTATTAGTGTACAAGTATATATCCCAATATATGAATATTAAGTACCAAAAAGATGCAAATTGATGTTCACAAATTAAAAAACAATAGCCCTCAACAGATGAACAATAATCTACAAAACATTTATTTTTATTTTCTTCTTTATACATTTTCTACTTTTAGTTAATGTGAGATTAAAATTATTCATTAGGATTAGTATAATTAACAATGTTAAATCTTAAACAAGACACAAACTAATGTCAAAGAAGCTTAGAATTAAAAGAGACTTTAATTCACAAAGGAAAGATGTTGTTAGATTTCATTTCACTTTTGAATGTGAGCTTTATAAAACATTTCTTTTGAAATCATAATTCATATACATACAGTTTTTCTGACACCGAGGATATAAGGATAAAGTTTATTCATTTATTCCAATGCTGAATTTTTTTCCCTATTATTGGAAAGTACAGCCTTACAATGCTCAGTGGTATTTTCTGAGTTTATTTGCATGATATTCAATGTACGTAAATATCAACCTTTTTATTCTACAGGTTTGTCCTACTTTTAAATTTTTTAAGAGGCATTCATCATTGATTTATTATAATGTCAGAAAATGTTAGAAAATTTTATCCCTCTCTATGAACTATAATGTTAGGAAATCATTTCTTTTAGGAAAACATAAAACACAATATTTATAAAAAGTTGTACACCCTGTAGATAAAAGTAACTAATTATAAATGATTACTGTTTATTTCTACCTCAGATACATCATCCTTTAAATAAATCTTATTGGAATATGATGTTTGAAAATTCTGATAAACCTGAAAGATAAGCTTGAGGGGGTTATTTGCTTTATAGGACTATTCGTAATAGTTCATCTAGAAAAAGTGATTTCCCCTGGTGCTTTTAACATGAAATTGATTTATATGTAACTCTTCAGGATCATACCTACCATGCACAATTGTATCTTCATTTTAATATATTTCTCTTTCAGTTAAAAAAGGAGGGGGTTAAAATGTGTTCCCAACAACTCTGAATTCAGAGCATCAACCTTCCAGAGAGGAGCATGTTATTGAAACACTGTTGAATTTTCCATGAATACTGTTAAAGGCAGGAATTGAGATCTATGCATGTGGTTGTAGCTAAAAAGGCCTAAGCAGGGCATGATTCCACGAAGGACTCTGGGCTATCTTGATTTTCATTCACTGAGCCTAAGCTCAGATATACTGTAGCTCTATGAGACCCACACAGACACAAATTCAGTTCAGACAGGGCTCCGTCTATATCTCTGGCTTTCATTGCCTTATTCCTGAATATAACATGGTCACTGATGACTCACCCTCTAGGCCCCCTCTATGGAGCTCCAGGGTCCTCCAAAGTTCCATTCTTTATACACATCCATTCAGGTAGAGAGGGGCTGAAATAAGCAGACAGGCCACCACTCTGGCCTCACTCCTGATGCACAGTACAGACATGAGTACACAAAATTCGCCTTGAAGTCTCAATAACCATTAGGTTTTTAGAAGTAGGGATCATCTCGGTAAAGCTGAACATCTTAGCAAAGATTGCCTCATTCTTATCTCTCATGATCTGATGATTGCTTAGCAGAACATAACCATTTAATTCTGAATTGTTGTATTTTGTATGGATGGTTTGCTTTTAAATAAGACTTAATTGATTAGCATTCATAGGTAACTGCCAGTACACTGCATGTTAATGAATCTAAAGTCAGCTCTTAAAAATAAGTCAAATGCATTACACGTGATGAATTTTTCATTTAAGGCTATCTTGCTGGAATCAGGTTATCAGGTCGGGTACCAGATTAGTTCAGGATCCACCAAATGAGACCTCAGAACAGTGATGCACTAATCAAATTGTCTTATATTCAGGATTAGAGTCTCACCAGCCTTCTCCAGCCAGCCTTTCCTGTAAAGAGTCATTCTTATGCTTGTTAATAGATTTTTAAATAGTATATGAATTAACTAGAAAGCTCAATAAATTAATCCCTCATCTATTTATCTATCTCTATCAGATCAATGTTTATCCAGCTATTAAATCTTGTGACAGGTCTAGTGTTAAGAATTGCAGACTTTTGATAAATTCTGTAAAGTCTAGTTCACAAAAGAGAACCAAATGGGTCATTCATTTACTCATTTACTGTCCATTCTATTTGGTAAAATAGGCCTATTAAGGCCATTCTAAAGGCTGAAGAAGAAGAAAAATAAGGCTCAGGAGACAATCAGAAAGGGCCCTGAAGCATAGATGTTTACAGCTGAAAGGGATCCTGGCGCATGCAGCACCTGCCGCCCCTCACCCTCACCTCATTACAAAGGAGGACACTCGCACTGAAAAACATTGCACCATGATGTTGGCCGGGTCTCAAATTACACTGACCTGCAAATTAAAACGAATCCACCTACCAACCTTTTTTTTCTGGTGTTCTCAAAATACAAGAAGGCTTAATCAACATGGGAATCACTGTCAGGTAACACACACTGTCCATTCTACTTTTGCTTGATGCTCCTGGGAATAGCCTCAAGCACTTCGGCTTGAGTTTGCTAACCCACAAACCAGAAACCACAGCGAAGCATCTTCTGTATTTGGGATCGTCACCACAACAGGAGGAACTATGCCAAAGATCTTCAGTTCAAGGCAGTTCGTGAGAGTTAGTTTGCATCCTCAGGGTCAGAACTATGGCTTCGCTGCTGTGAGCACCCTAGGCTTCCTCTGTGTATCTCTTGTCGCTTAAATGGGTCTCCATGAGGGGTGCATATCCTTTTCGAAGTCTTCTATACTGAAGGAAAACCAGCAGCACAAAAAGACCAACCACAGTCACCAGCACTCCCATAACCACCGAGAGAACTGTGGTCCAGCCTGGACTTTCTTCAACTGAAATTAAAGCAGATGAGAGGGTCTACAATTGGGATTTTCATCAGCTGAATACTCTTAGAAAAGAAAATAATAAACCAATTTGCCTTTCACATGTTTTTTTGTTGATGAAGCAAAACTACACTGGCTAGAGTAAAATTTTTCTTCTCCTTTCCTACCAGCTATTTATCGTATCCACAATTGTTTTTCTTGAGATGGCATACCATTATTTAAATATAGCTCATTGCATTTTTTAAATTTCCTGCAGCAAATACTTAAACATAATAAACCCTCCAAGGAAGTATATAACTAGTTTTGTGAGCTAGCAACTTATTTGTAAAAGTGCATGCTAAAATGATATCTGGGGAACTACAAAATATACAACCCTCAGGTGGAGAAATTCTCTATTGTCTCTACCTTTTTATAGGGTGATAAATGTGTAAGACAAATTTGAATGCTATTGTAATAGGAGACATTCAATAGCACAAAAGCAGATGAAACCTGTACCCATTTAAATAGCTGTGAATAAAATCTGTCTTTCACATGATAAATCCAATCCTCTACTAAAATTTATTTTAGAATCACTGTTCCACAAAATTAATAGATTTCATTTTAATATATTTATGCCTATTTATCATTTCTGTAAAAATTCTCCTACCTTTGGCCAGCTATTCTTGAATTCAGTTTCTCATACTCAAAGGTAAAATCCTCCTAATTCTTTTCCTCCAACCCCACAGAGAGCCCTGATCCACCCTGACGGGATTCTGCCGACAAGATTTTAATTTTTCTCTCCTCCTTCTACAATCCAGCAGTTCTCCCCTGCCAGGATCATCTTCTTGAAACACAGATTTTTATTCTGCCATTTCTTTGTTCAGGAACGAAAAATGAGTTTGTTTTTAATTATGGTAAAACACACATGATATGCATTTTACCATCTTAATTATTTTTAAATGCTCTGTTCTGTGGCATTAAGTGCATTCACATTGTTGTGCCATCCTCACCACCACCTATCCATAGACCTGTTTTCATCTTGCAAAACTGAAATGTAATTCCCCAACCCCCAAGTCTCGTGACCCTGGCAACCATCATTCTACAAGCTTCTGTCTCTATGAGTTTCTCTAGATACTTCATATAAGTGGAATCATACAGGGTTTGTCCTTTTGTGTCTGGCTTATTTCACTTAGCATAACATCCCCAAGGTTCATCCATGTTGCTACGAACAGAAGTGTACAAATATCTGTTGGTTTCAATTCTTTGGGGTATATACCCAGAGGTAAAATTGCTGGTTCACGTGGTAATTCTAAGTTTAATTATTTTAGGAAGTGCCACACTGTTTCCCACAGAGGCCGCACCATTTTACACCCCCACCAGCAGTGCAAAAGGGCTCCATGTACTCCACCTTCTTCTCATCAACACTTGTTATTTTCTGCTTTCCAGTAGTAGCCGTCCTAATGGGTATAGAGTGGTTCCTCATTGTGCTTCCTGCCTAGCTTCTAAGGCCCTGCATAATCAGGCCCTCTCACAACTCCAACCTCAATCCATGAACCTTCTACCCAAGTCTACGTCAGCCAGGCTTGCTTCCTACAGTCCTCTGTGTAGACTACACACGCCCCTCATAGCCTTGTTCCCTGCCCTTCTTTCATCTAAAATGCTCCCTTCTTTCTGCCTCACCTGCTTAAGATCTACCATCTCTTTAAAACTGGTTCAAGACCCACCCTCTTCAAGCAGTCTTTCCTAAATCCCCCACACCCTTCTCTAACCTTTAATTATAGTCGCGTCTCCCAGATAGGACTGTAAATTTCTTTGTCAAGCCAATAAATGCAAGTGCATTTGTATCTTCTAATAAGTGAATGGGTATATTTAGATTCTCAGCCTATACCTGTTTATTGGCTGATGTTAGAGCAGATGGAAACATGGCCAAATGCACATTCCAAACTTTTTGATCATTATTATGTTCAATCTCAGTGAAGAGAGAAGCTTCAAAGAGATATCCTCAGGTTCCCAAAGAAAGGAAGCATCAAATCAGTAAGGAGACAGAGCATAATAGATGCAAAGCCAGAAGGGAACCCAGGGGAGATTCCAGGGCCTGAAAGACTCTGAAGTCAGAGAGAGATGTGAGCGCAGGAGCTGCTGTGATTACTTTGAAGGCTGAGATTGAAGGAAGATAAAATAGACACAAATGGGAAAAGGCCACCAGCAGATGGACTGTGTGTTTTTCAGCTTCTTGACAAATTAAGATTTTTTTGAAAATTGTTTTACCTCTTCTTTCTCAATCTGTCCTAAGAGTACTTAAATGGCACGTGGAGCTTCTCTGGAGCCTGGGCGAATAGGAAAATGTGTGCTCCTATATACACTTATCAAAATATCCTCCCATATTTTGAACCACGTAGGAAAAAGCCAGTAAAAATCTATAATTTAAAAGCATGACTGAAAAAACTTTAATTAAGAAAACATACACATGAAGCCCCGTGTAGCCCAGTCTGTTGGCAGGCCAGTGGCAACCTTACAAACCTACCTGGTCAGGGTGGTGTGGGCTAATTGGAAACAAGTGATCTTATTACAAAATAAAGCAGGGGGAATAAAACAAACAACAGCCTGTCTCTACTTAAAATTTTAATAGCATACTCATCATGAATTTTCTGCATTAGTTTTGATTTTTTAAAAATTGTGCTACAGTATTACTTATCTCGATTACTGAACTTTTTGGCATCCCTTGAACTTTGTGCTCAAGCAAAGTATTGTACCGGCCTCTCCCCAAACCCAGACCAGCATTCAAGCAATGATCTCTAAGTCCTGCAAGTCCCTGGCCACATGTGGCTGCTGTATTTTGATTTTATTGGTTAGACATCTCAAACCACAGTCAGTTTCTGATGAAGTCAGATGGAATTGTCAGATTAGGTGTAGGAATAGATACTTCCTCTTTGGAATAGGTCTCTTAACAACTTACAATTTTCTCAAACAATAATCATTCATGTTTATTTTCACCAGTCTCTTTTCTGATGTTTGATTGTCATTTAGACTCATTTTTGTGAAAGATACATTTTCTAGGAAATTGCCAATAAATTTACCTAGACCTGATTACTTCAATTTATGATCTTGATTTACATTTAAGAAAGAGAGAGAGAAAGAGAGGCCGAGAGAAAGAAAGAAAGAAAGAAAAAAAGGTCCTTTAGAAGATGAATGAATCACTCCTTAGAAGTTGTATTAGTTACCTGGCAGATCAATGGCGTAGCTGTAGCCAAGTTGGTCTGCAGTTAAAAAGAGTTCCTCATTAGTCACCGGAGGGAAGAAAGGAACCATGTTATACATCCTATTGTGACCAATGGGTGCCAGCTCCTGAGGCCAGGCGTCCACAGGAGGATTGAATCTTTTCATCCACGCATCAAAAATGGCATCAGTGAAAGAATGAAGGACCTGCAAGACAGTTGAACGTGGCGTTTAACACTGATGGATCTGTTCCAAGCAGACCAATCTCACAGGAGTCTTCTCCACCACGCAGCCGGGTTCTCCTTGACAGGAGCAACTTTGGACACCCAAGCTCATCTCAGGGACATAGCCCCTGGCATTTTCAGTTAAATTTCCAAGAATGTGCAGCATGTGTCTCCAAAACCCTTGTGCCAAGTGAACAAATGAAAATGCATTTACAGATTTAACATGGGTTTGGGAACATGTGAGGCCTTTAGCAAGTGTGTGTGAATTATTAAGTTCAGAAGAAAGGCAATAGTGATGAGATACATATTCTAGTCAATATGCAGATGCCTTGCTTTTAACAGCAGAGAAAGAAGAGATGGGTTTGCCAGGGCTGTACTACAAACAGACAGGAAGTAAAAGTGAAATGTCCAGAATGGGTTGTCAGATTTTGCTCATCAGGAACACCCTTCTCTGTGCTCATTTTGTAACCCTCTCGTTTGAATTCTTGGTGTTAGGCCAGCAAAAGAACATGTAAAAATGCATTGTGCCTAGTACTCATTTTTATTTTCTCAAGGAAACTGTTAAAGTCCTATTCAAACACAGCAATTATTATAAGTTTTACAATTTTAACAGCAAAATTTCTACATTCATAGCCCCTATTATGCAGCAGGATGTAAATGTGAGAATTTTATATCCTGATATGTATCATATATTTTTAAATGTATGATTAAATATGATTAAATAAAGGATTATATGGAAATATATTTATTTTTTAAATATGATTTAAAACATATCATATATTTACGAACAGCCAGGCTGTAGGCTGGGTTCCTCTTTTTTTCGTAGACTGTAAGGTAAGGGAGCTGGGACACTGCTTTTCCTTCCCCTCTGTGTCCCTACCTAGTGTCTGTCACCCCAGGGACTGTCATGTGGGGACAGGGAGGTACTCCTTCCAATAAATACTTATTTTAAATGAGTTCATTCCTCCATTCACCACTGTTCCTTGTAACCCAATTATAGCACTGGTGCAATTATACTATCACTTGGTATTTATTTTTCCAAGCAAGATCCCTAACTCCTGAAGGTCAGAGTGAAGGTCTTTTCACCTTTGAATCCTCATGTTTAGCATGTAAACTGGGCAGAATCAATGATTAAAAAATGTGTGCTGGCTGATGACGGGGCCATGCAAAGCAGTTTTATTTTTTGGACAGTTCAGCTCATTAGGCCCCTTTCTGGCTGGTGCCACTTCCTCAGTCTGCAAGGCTGTTGCTTTTGTTTCCTGACATCAGCCTCTTTCAAGGACCAACTCAACAGGCCTCTCCTGAACCCTTTTCCTGATTGTCCCATTCTGAATGCTTGGCTCTTGGCACTTCTCAATCCTTTTAGAGCATTGCCCTCTGGCTTATATTACTATTCTTTATTCAGTAAGTAATATTTCCAAATCCTACTGGAGGAAATTCTCTGTTATTAGTTGTCCTATTCAGGCAACAGTGAGAGCTTTCTACCTATGTTGTATCATGTGGCTACATTCAGGATAGTAAAAGGAATCAAGTGATTTACTGAAGGAATTTCTTTTCCCAAATGGATTTTTAAAGTTCATGGCAGAGGCAATCATCTTCAAAACCAAAACATCAAAATTATAAGGCCTGGGATTTTACAGAGATAAAAGCCACTTTGAATTCTAAAATCTTGTCTTTGAGTAACAAAATTTAAACCCCGAATAAATCAAGGCATACAGTTTATTTCACAAGCAACAACTTTGGAAGAACATGTAATAATGCAAGTGATCAGCGTTTGCTACAAGTTCAGGAAAAGTCATCTTTGAGAAAGGGTATCAGCCCTAGAAAAGTGGTAAGTGTTAGTTATTGGTTTAAGTCCCTGAAAAAGAGTACCTGATGCCCTGAATCCTCCAAATTCCAGATGATGAAAGGTTCCCGGGAGGAAGTTGTGTGGCCAGGGGAGCCTGCCTTCCTCAAGTAAAGTTTTACTTCAAGGATGGAGATGCAGCAATAGAGATGGAACGTCAAAGGGTGGCAAGCACTGTTGGTTGCTTACCCAATATCCATTCTCCTTCTCTGCCTCTATTATTTCGTTTGTATTTTGGGTGAAGCAATGTGCCAAGCTGTCCATGATATCCATTGGATTGGATGGGGACTTACAGGAAAACTCTTTAAAGGTGGTTGCCTCACCTTAAAAGTGTCCATTTTTCCCTTTCCATTTCTTCTTGCTGCTTTTGGAATATGGATGTGATGGCTGGAGCTGCAGCAGTCATCTTAACAGCCAATAAGCAAAGTTAAGAAAAGAAGCCCCTCACCAAGGATGGCAAAGTGCAGCAACCGAAGGGATCCATGATGACTATGAGACACATACCAGCCCTGGATGGACTGCTCCTGGGGCACTTTTATATAAAGAGAAAAATAAGCCTCTATTTTGTTTAGGCTCCTAAAATTTGTTTTTTCTGTTCTAAGCAGCTGAACCAAATCCTAAGTGATACAAAGAAAAAGTATCTAAGAGTGTAACAGAATGTACTTTTTGAGGAAGGAATATCTCTTGAGCTTTTAGATGTCGTCAAAGATCAAATTGTGACTAGAAAAAGAGACAAGATTCTCAGGAATAGAAAGTGCTTCAAGAGGTGAATACCCAGTGCAAAGTGTAAATAATGAAGGGAGCAACAGGACTCTAAAGCAATTCATAATTTGAAGAGATAAAATAACAGGTAAAAATAATAAGATGTTAGGTCTCAGAAGGGCTATAAAACATTATACAGTAAATGCTGTAGTAGGAACTATATACAGAGTACCTAATTTATAGAATGTAGTAAAAAAGGTTAGTGTGTGCCAAGAAGATGCAAAGCATGCAATAAGCAAATTATTGCAAACGCTAATGTACCCACAGGCTAGAAAGAGAAGTAGTGCTGCCTGTAGAGTAAATATTTTTATAAAAGTGTGAATATTGTTCCTAAACAAGATACCTTGAATTGCTCTTGAGAAACTAATGGTAGCTGGTTCTGTTATGAACCTTTAGTCTTTTTCTCTTTCCAGAAGTCATTATCATACATGAACAGAGTGATCACAGATAAAGAAATGCAAATGGTTATTTAAATGTATGAAAAAATGTTGAACTTCATTTCTAAGAGAAGTGCAAATTAAAACCCACTGACATACCATCTCATCTATCAGATTGGAAAAGTTGAAGATGTAACAATACACTGTATTAATGAGAGAATGGGGAATTGTCACACTGCTACATAGATGATAGGATGGAAAATTATGCAAACTTCTGGGGGGCAATTTGGCAATACCTATCGAAATTTCAAATGCATTTATTTAAACTTTGACCCAGTGATTCTATTCTCTGGACTCACCCAACATATTCATTCACTGCACCATTACTTGTAAAGCAAAAGGTTAAAAACCAAATACATACACTTAAGTAAGAAATTGGTTTAAATTTCCAGAATAAATCCATACTCTAGAATACTATATAGACATAAGAACAGAATGCAAAGGGCCTTTATGAACTAATATGGAGTGATTTAGAATAAGTAAAAAAATAATAATAGTAGTAATAATAACAATAACGAAGTCACTGAAGCATCTCTAGAATGCCACCATTTGGATTGTATATTTGTTTGTATATTTATAAAGTAGATCTAGAAGAACAGGGGAAAATGATTGAATAGCTTGGAGATGGTAGTGGTATAAGTATTTCATTTTGTGTCTTATATTTGAACCTTTTCTGTGCATTATCTACTTTAAAATTTTTTAATTAAAAAATTTTGGAAATTATGTAACCACCCAAAAAATATGTGCAGTATAATTGCAACAATATAAACATAGAAGACTATGGAAGGAAATATGCAGAAAATTTGAGATGCCGTTATGGACATTTAAAAATTTGGAGCCAATGTTTCTGAAATCATAAATCATTAAAAATCATTCAACCACTTGGAAATTGACATAAAATAATGTTATTTAAATTACTTAAGGTATTAGTCTAAGTATGACTTTGATTTTGAAGAAAGATAAATAAAATGGATCCATTTTTAAGTGCTTCCCTCTTGGGCAGAGAAAAGCAAGATCCCCTATACTTCTTTTTTAAAAATTCAACTAAACTCATACTAACTCGGAGATATTTTTATACTTGCTGTTGTGACCTATTAATTTTACTGATTTTACTGCAGCCTAGAGCAGCAGGGAGCCAGAGGGGGTCTTACAGGCCTGACTTGGTGTCATCCATTCGATCCTTGCTTTTAGAAACTTATTTTCTCTTTTCTTGCTTTATATTCCTAAATCGATGGACCTAGCTTATCCACTTAATTGTCATTGTTAAAAATACAAATAATAATAAGGTGACTTAAATCTCTTATTTATTAAGAATTTCTATGCGTAAGGTGAAGAACAATGATAGGAGCCCTTCAGTATTAGCTGTGAACCTATGAATCCCCCAGCCACTAGGAAGTGAGCGAATGTCCCTTTCTAAGAGAATAACATCCAAATACACCCTTAAGCAGAGTATCTTTGGAAGCAGGAAGAAAATTATTAGTCTCTAACATAATTCTTTCTTGTCAGTTAACTCAGCTATGTAACTTTACAGTTTATTGGTTCCCCTTTTTATCTTCCTTAGATTATATCTAAATTTAATATTGAAGACAGCACTACTTAGCATGCCTGTGACCTAATCTTATTTTCCATGATAAATGGGTGCATTTCCTTCAATTACCTTATGAATTATTAGAATTTCAGGATTGATTCAGTCTTTCCTGCATTTTAACGTTGTATCTTCTTGTACTCATTATTGCAATTGCATATAACTTTGTGCTTTTCTTGCTTGAAGAGATTCCACAAAAATAATTTTAACAAATGTTGTATGCAATATATTTGCATAAAATGCCTTGTGAACTTGAAATTCCTGAAGCTATCACTCTTTTAACTTAAATGCTTTAGCCTGGATCTCAGTATGTGAGAAATCATTTAAGGCTGAATTGGCTTCAACATGAAATTCTTTGTAAATTGCCTAAAGTAATTGTGAGTTCTGGAACTAGTGCCAAAACCGTATTCCTTCTATGCCTTCAAAGAAAGGCTGTGGATTTTTGTCTTTTTATATGTACGTGATAACTTATACAGAAGAAAACCAAAGTTTTAAATATTGAAGATATTAAAAGTAGTGAAGATAAGGATAACTAAACATCTGGTATCTTTGAACTACATATAAGTCATAGATTTTTCATCCATAAAGTCATAATGTGGCATGCACCCAAAGCAGGAAAAGAAATTTGACTAATATATATCCCTACTGCATAGAACAGAGGTGAGGTTGGCAAACGAAAGCCTTCAGGCCAAGGGTGCTCACCATTTGTTTTTGCAAATAAAGTTTTATTAGAACACCACCCTCACTTGTTCATGAATTGTCTATGGCAGCTTTCATGCAAGGCTGAGTAGTTCCAATAGAGATGATCTGGCCTGCAAAGCCTAAAACACACACAACCTGGCCATTCACAGAAAAGTGTTACCAACCCCTGCATCCTCAGCAGGCTTCCCCAGATGAGGGAAATAAAATGTAGCACATCCTTGAGACATAGACGCTAAAAATCAGATTACTAGCATCACCATTATTTTCTACAGTAAGAGAGAAAGGTTTGGGATATAGTTCTCCATTTGTCAGATGGTTCTGCTCATGAATATGGATTGTGTGTACAAATTATGTAGTTGAAATATATATTTTAATGAAAACTTATTTAGGAACATGCAGTATAAAGAGATTTATAGATATGTAGCAGACACAGTAAACACCAGAAATGCTTTGCATAAATGATGGCTGAGTGGTAGCCAGAAAAATGATGTGAACTATCAACTTACAACCATTAAATAAGGCAGGCGTCCTACAGAAGAGCAAAGATGGCTCTGAAGACTATGCAGGTAATCTCCTCACCCTGCTAGAAGTTTGGACCAATAGTCCACATTTCGGACAACCCCTTCATTTATTGCTACCACACAAATATGAAGGGATGCATACTTTTAAGAAAGAAGGAGCAGCTCTGTTAACTGCCCCATCTCAGAATTTATTTTTTTTAATTGAAATATATTTGATATACAATATTATATTGGTTTCAGATACACAACATAGGGATTCAACAATTATACACATCACAAAATGCTCACCACCATGAATGTAGCTGCCGCCTGTCTACATCCAAAGACATTAAAATATTATTGCAACTCAGGATCCCTTACAGCTCACCCTTACTGAGCTCCATCTATCTGGGGGTGCAAAAAGCTATCTAGACCTTCATGCCACCAGACAAGCTTAGAGTCACTGAGAGCTATACGGTTACCCTCCCTGTTCATATCTTCTTTTTTACCCTGGTGGAGTAAAAATAATAAATCACCTCTTAAATACATCTGACTTTGTGCTTGTCAGTTCATTGCCCTGGGGCACAACTTGTGTGCTTTGGAGAACAAGGTAAGGAAGCTTAAATCAGGCTTGGAAATTCAAAAGTCAACACATAGCTCTCTAATTCTTTCCTACCTACTACCATAAAGCACACTGTTGTTTTTATGATAACATTTGTATTGTTCTTGGCAGTTTCCAGAGCAGCTGCATATTATCCTAATCTATTAAGAGTTGCTTTAACGAGCACCACACTTTTCACCAAGGCCAGATCAGGTCCTGTGACCTGCACTTTGCTGAGTGGGAAATAGGCCCCACGAAATTCAATGAGGCTCCCAAGATCCCAAGTCAGGATTAAATAAAACCGACTTGATTTGTAATCCGGTGGCGTTTCAATGGAAAAATGACCCCCAGCTTCAGCAGTACCTGAAACCAGCAGCACTCCTGAACTTCCAATTATTTAAGTCAATGAATGATTTTTTTGGAACCTCTATTAGTTTGAGTGGAATTTCTGCTCATTTGTGAACAAAAGAGAAGATACCTTCCAGTCTGCAAACTAACCCAACCTGATCTGTCCTTTCAGCACTGCCAGTTCTTCCACACGTCAGTGGCCTCCTGCTAGCGGCCATTTGTCCCTTCCTCTCCAATAAACTTGTTACTGAATGGTGTGTAACCATAAGAGCAAGTAAGGACCAGATTCTGGTAAACCTACAAGTACTTATTAGCAAGTAGACACAGGAATGAAAGAACCTATTAACGTCCAACCAGGGAAGTTCAGACTCTCCTCTAACAAGTGTCTTGCATGGAAGCTTCAGTCCGAAGTGGACACAATGACGTTCTGACAGGAGCAGCCCATTTTTAGTCAGCACACAGCCACAGTGAGGGGGGCCAAGAACCAAAGAGCAAACAGGGCTTCAGGCTTTGTGTTGTGCTCCAAAAGTGTCAGGTTGCTGGGTTTCATGCAAGGGTCGAGGTGCCTGCTCAGTCCTTCTAGCCTCTCCTCATCTCCAACAGCACTCATATAACCACTGAAAAATAACGTATCATTATACTAATTCATGATATAAATTATGCTAAATTATGCTGTAATTTATTGTTATGTTAATTTTTCAATCCATCTCTGGACTGTAAACTCCTGGGTAGGGTCATTCCAAAAGTAACCTTCTCTAAATGATGGGTTTCTGATGAGGGGACTTCCAATGCTATTTTACCACCCCTGTGGTGCAGATTAAAGTTAATTTAAATATGAATGCATCCCCTTGTTCACAGAGAGAGTAAAATACACACCCACGCTTAGTTGTATACAAAAGCAAATACATCCAACATGCTATCTAGAAAATTTTTTCATCTATTCTGAGTCTTTAAACATACCACAAAAATGGGGTCATTGGCAGCCGAATGTGGTAAAGCGTTCGTCCCGTTCAGGAAGGAATGCACCAAGTTATGAAGGCTCATCACTCGAGAGTCCAGGGACCCATCTGCTTTATCAAACCCCTCCAGGGCGTTCCTGAGAGAAATCAGTATGTCAGCAACAAGAGTCATGGATTGATAAAGTTTTTTTTTGTTTCCAGCCTAGATAACAGCCTTCTGATTTGAGTCTGGGTAGGGAAATAGGAAGTTCTGCCATAGCTAATTAACTATGAATTAGTCCCAATCTTTAATGATAATCTTCTAGGAGAGGGAACTCCTAATGAATCCTTCTTATGCACCTGCTCAGTTGGATTCTATCTCTTTTGTGTCTGTATGACAATTGTTTACCTTCATATCTATCTCCCATGCCAGACTATGAATTCCTAGAGGAGAGGGACTGTTTTCTTCAGGTTTTTATTTCCAGGGATCATTACCATGACCAATACATGGCCTGTAATCAGTATTTTTTGGATTCACATATGACATTATATTCTTATTTTTCAGTTAAATACACCTGCAGCTTGACTCTGATATATTCAGCATTCTAAACATATCCCCCAAGTCCCCCATCCTTCTCTATGTGGATTGCACTGTTTCAATAACAATTTCATCACAATGAAAAACTAACTAACACATGCTCCTTTCCACAACAGTCTTAAATGCCACCTTTTACCTGCCTTTGACACTATTCTGAGGGCTGTGTCCAACCCCAGCACAGACTCTGAGCCCCAGACACTTAGCACAACCTCTGCGGTTAAGTTCAGTCTACACTGACCCGGCCCAAATAACCCACCAGTTGTAGAATTTACACAGTTATAAGAGAAAAAAATTCAGTCTGGGAGAAGAATCTATCTACCACTGCTTTTTGGAGCCCCATCTATATTTATTTAAAATTATATTTGTATCCATACATCTATGTCTCACAATTCTTAGAGTCTTTTTAGAGGAAGCGAATTATCAACTGGTCTTTAAATTTCAAATATTGTAATGTCATTGCTATGCCATGATTTGAGTTGCATTTAGTCTGTAAGACTCCTCTGAGATCTCAGACCCCAATATTAAGGTCTATGGCTAATAAACTGAAAACAAAAGAAAAAACATGAGCAAATATTTTTAAAATACTCCATTCATGAGGTACCCTGGTTCTGACCTTTATGTGTACCATAATTAGAAATACAAAAGATGGTTTTGAATAGCTAAGTTTCAAGATATTAAATTACACTGTTAATTTCAGTGAGGGGATGATGCGTTTCTAACTGATCCCTTGTTATTCTCTCTTATCAGCCTCTCTCCACGACTTAGCCTTGTAAATGTCTCCCAACTCCTGGATTTCCTTCCAGTTTGTTACAACCACAGGCATGAAAATCTGTTAAGTATTGTAAATGCGGGTCTAGCAGCGCTGACAGCACCAACCTGAAGCTGAAGCTGGAGTTCTGGAAGAAAGGGGGGCTGTCAAACTTCTCAAGAGACAGACAATCTCGTAGGTCTTTTAAAGTTGGCAGTTTCTCTCCATTTCTTCCCACTTGATTTCTTCTCAGCAAACCTTCATAAGTTCCATTACACAGTGTAACCCAGCGGTTGTAGTCATCTAAGCTAAGGTTTGTAAGGAGATTTAAAAGAATGTGTCTTAATTCATGGATAGTACCATAACTTCAGGCCAAGCAAACCAATCAGTCATAGTAATGACAACATTATTACAAATAGCTTACAAGGGTCAAAAATAGGGGGTAAAAGTACTACCTCCAAAAGTGATTATGGATTAAGGCATTTCAAAAACATAGATGCATGAAATATGAATACGTGCCTAAATATGAAGAAAAATTACCATTACACTGGAAAGCAGTAGATGGTGACTATCATGTGCTTTTGAATTTTGAGTAACTGAAGAGAGGAACGGGTGGCCCAGTTTATACTGAGCGAAGCCAGTTTTGCCGGAAGTGCCTGTGAACATCTAGGAAAGCATCTTAGACTAAGTGAAGGCAAATTGAGGAGTCAGAATAAAAACGGACAAAACCGTAAGGGGAAAAGTATCAGTAGAAACACTGTATTAGAGAATGTTCCAGGGGGTAGGGATGGTTATGTGGGAAACAGGGAGGCTGAGAGGGCTCCATGCCCACACAAGGTCCTCCATGCCTGCTGTGGCCGGGAATTCCACCCTCAGAGGACTGGTACCCTGGCAGAGAGAAAATGTGACAGATGCTTCTGTGTGGGTTTCAATGGGTAAAAGGATATCCTGGGAATGTGAAGATTGAATCCACACACATGGGGATGGAAGAGGCCGGACCTAAAAATGAGGAAAAAGACCTCAAGAGCAGTATTTCCCAAATGTGTTCCAGGGAGATGGTCTGAGAAATAAGGGTGCGAGTTCAGGTATGATTAGGCCCCTCTTTAATAATAATAGGTTTATATAAGAAAAGCTCTGAGACATTCTAAAATTTAAAAAAAACCTTTAAATTCAGTATTCCCTAAATGTACTTGGTCATAGAAATTTCTGTTCACATACCACCTATGAACACCCCTAGGTACCATGGGAAATGGTGCTTTATGGAATTACACCATCACATAAAAAGCACTTCTTTCATCCCTACACACTGTGGGGCGCTGTCCCGGGGGCTGTAGGGAAGGCTTAGGATGTGGGAGACGGGATTCCTGCTAGGGACGCCTGTACCCCAGGACACACACACGCCCAGCTGCAGGGGTGGACAGTGAAGCTGTGTGTCATGGAGCAGACGAAGGACACGGCCAGGGAGCTGGAGCAGAAGGGATAAAACAGGAGGATTTGGGAGGAAACCATGAAAAAAGGAAGGCAGAGTTGCCTCTTGAGGAACATTTTTCTCCTATGAACCAGGGAAGAGAAACAAACTCAAGGAATCACTGAGGGCAGAATTCTTCCTGGGCTGTTTGTCTGCTCTGTGTTGTGCAGTACCTCGGGGACCATTCTCTCCTGCCCCACCCCCTGGGCCTCTCAACTCACCAGCACCCTACGGTCCAGTCATACCGCACCCTTCCTGAGACTCTTCCAGCCTCACACAGGACACCTTCTCCACCTCGGACACATTTACCACCCTCCCCTACCTGGTCAAGGTCTGTGCCTCCTGAAAGTCTCAGAACAATTTTTGCCAATCAGAGACTTTCCCTGACTCTTTTCTTGGCTTTGTGTATTCATCTATTATGATACTTCAAAAGTTGTATTGTAGTTTGTTTACAAGCAATCTACCTTTGTAAATATAAAATGATATTCAAAAGGGAAGCTATATATTATTTGCCCTTGTATTCACAGCACTATTACACTGCTTAGAATATGATGGGTACTTGCTGAATGCAAGAACTACTTCTAATTTAAAACAGTTGATCTCCCAGTGATGGCCAGGCACATCTAATTCACAGGTGTGATTTCCATACCTCTAATTTTTTTTTTGTTAAGGGGCTTAGACTTTTAAAAAATCCCACTTCCCTCAAGGGAATTATTTTCAGAAGTATGGGAACAGAACTCAACATGCATTAGAAACAGAATATAAGGTGGCTCTCCACCTCTTGGACACAAGAAAACATGGTTCTTGTACAGCCGTTGCAGGAATACATGCCATTACCTATCACAGACAATTTCCCAGCTGGAGAATCTTGAGTTCTGACTAATCAGAGTCGGATCATCTTGTCTTGCTGCCCCAAAGAGCTGGTCTGTACACACGTCACACTCATTCCTGCCAGTGGCAAAGTTCCAGTAGGGTAAAGCAAAGGACTCGTTGCCAGTGAGACGCTAAAAGCCAAGGGCGTGCACAGTAAATTAATTCATACCACCAGATATAGCAAAGCATATCAGCAAAGAGCTATACATGTCTTGACCAAATTCATTGCAAAATTACAAGCACCAAATTCATAGCTTTGACCAACCTGGAGCTCTCTTTCCAGCCACAGCAAATGGTACCGGTGCCAGGTAACGAAGGCAGGCCCTTGATGTGAGAAATCAATGGCCTTGTAGGGGCGCCCTGGTCCTAAAACAATTGGGAAACATAGTAGAGATTGCAGAACAGAATTTTTGTAATGTTATGCCTTACCTGGGATGTGTCTGCAAAGCCAGAAATTCCATGATGTTTCCGTTGGGGGGAAAAAAACCTGTTTTTGTTATTTTTCTCTCTCTAAAAACAACAGCAACTAAACGATTTTTAGCACTTTGAAGATAAATTCTCCATCTGTTGAAAGTTTGATTGTCAACAGAGATCCAGAGCAATTCAGGTCACTTTACACTTAAAGAGCCACTGTGGTAGATTTAATTTTCAAGCAACGTTTCATTAAGATGAAAGGAAAATATCCAAAGGAACAGATCATTAAAACCTAAATGAAATGTATTTTTAAAAGACATTTCTGACCTATTTCTTACAATGCACATATTTATAAGGGAGGGATTAATTAATAATAAAGCAACTTCAACTGCTCTTAGCCCTACTTCAGATATTTGTATGACCAGAGGGCTGTATAGATTTTGCATCAGTCATCAATCATTAAAAGCACCAGCTGATGAGCATGGTCACCGCGACTGGAAGAGAGAAAAATACATTCAGACCAATTTGGCTGGAACTGCCGCGTTTAGTGAAAAGCTTTGGGCAATTTAATGACCTCCTTACTGCCTGTTCCTCCTTCTGCCCCTTTTATAACAGCTTTTGATGGTTATGTAGGAAACTTTAGCTAACTTCAGTCCTTTCCTTCAAAGTTCCTGAAATAACTTCAGAGAGCTGAACAGGCATGAATATAAATTTAATTCCTAGATACGACCAGAAACTGTAGTTTTCTTTTCCTCTTGAGAGGCTACCCTCTCGTAAGGCAAAAATTCCTCAGAGTGGTGACAGAAAAACTATAAAGGTTTAAAGCCAGAAGAGCCTCCTCATTATTGATAAGGAAAGATAGATGCTTACCTGACAGGCAAGTTTTTAAAAGACTTGCAGTAGGAAGTGCTGTTGCCGCGGCAGGCCAGGCAGGCTTTGAAAATGTTTTAATCCAGAACAAAGTTTAATGTTCTCAAAACAAAATGATGAGGGGGAATCAAGTAATAGGGAATCAGGGATAAACACAAGGACAGACAATTCCCTGTGAGACTGACTATCAGCGTGAGCTCTGTGTCTGCATTCACCCTGACCCCAGAAGTGGGTGGAATTACAGGTCTAGACAAGGTTTCAGAGCTGCACCAAGAAGAACCTGGCATGGAGTCAAGCCCCCCTGGAGCACACTGATGTCTGTGGGAGACCCCTGACAGAACATTAGCTGAGGACAAAGAGGAACCTTCTAGATTAATAAAGCTCCTAACAGACAACCCCCCTTTCCAAGTTGTACCCAGGCCCTGATTTTGAGCATCCATCAGAGCAGGGCGCCTTTTTCCCAAGCATCCCACATAACTGTGATTCAAAGGGCTAAGCCAGGAGGAACTTTCGTTGCTGGCTCAGCCTCTGCTTTTCCTTGACGATACCACTCTGGAAAAACCTGGGCATCCCAGCAGCGCATGGGCCCCATAAACGATGGCCTGAAAGTCTAAAGATTCATACGTGTGCGTTCAGTGAGATTTATGCTTCCAACACGTTCCCACTCTGCACAAAGAAGCTGCATGTGCTTTAGCACGTGTTCAGCTAATTCCTCTAATCCTAGGTCAGAGAGTGCTTCCCTGGCCAGATTTAGAAATGTTTTCCGGAATCAAAAGGAATTTGCCTCCACTTCACCAACTCTTGTCTTGGAGGGTTAACAGCTTCATAGAGAAGAGTTTAGACTTTGAACCAAAGCTACCAGCGGGAAAATTTTCAGATGTCTGCAGCCAAGAAATTGCTCCCTCCTCATGTTGGGCAGCAGTTTTAAATGCTAAGAATCCCATGACTTTCATAAACCTACTCCTTCCTTGAGGTTGTACTTTAGTCAAGTGGCTTGCCTGATATTGCTTTCCGCCCATTCCCCCCTATCCCAAGCCGGTGCTAACACGCCTTAGACTAAGGAAAAAACCCACCTAGTAATGTGTCTCGAACAGAATAATAGTGGAGCCACACAAAGAAATCATAGATGCTGCAGTTGGCGATCTGCGGCTGCGTCCCATTGGGCCCGAGCAGGCCCAGCCAGTGCTGCGTGGTGATCACATAATCGGGGTGCACGGTGGCCTTCGCCAGGTCTAAGGCGCCCAAGAACTGCTCCGTCTCCTGACTGGTCAAGGAGTGGATATCCCGCCGAACAACCAGTGCTTTCTTCCGATTGCAGTCAGGGCCGGTCCATCCAAACTTGCAGACTCCACAGTTGTAGCCGGCAAAGTTTCCTAGGTGATTTTTTTAAAAGGGGAATGATGGAAAAGGACGTCAGTTTATGTAGCTTGGAAGAAATGTCAATGTCTGAACTGTGAGACGGAAGGGAGGCAGTGCTTACGAGAAGGCAAAGAAAGCCAGTTCCTTCTCTTACTCCCCTTTGGAAATGCTTGTTTCTCCAAGTGACCTGAGCGCTCGAGAGCACCTTCAAAACATTCCCAGCAAAGAGACGGGATATGAAATGTACTACACACTATTATGGGCTGACTGCCCCTCCGAAATTCGTATGTTGAAGTCTTCACCCCCGGCTCTTCTAGATAGGCCTGTATTTGGAGATGACATTCCTGAAGAGGTTATTAAGCTAAAATGAGGTTGTAAAAGTGGCTGCTACTCCAATATGACTTGTGTCCTTATCTGAAGAGGAAATGAACACTAGATAGGTCCAGAGGGAAGGCCACATGAAGACACAGGGTGACGATGACCACCTGCAAACTAGGACGAGACCTCCGAAGCAACCACCCCTGGACTTCAGGCCTCCAGAACCATATCACCCACCCTGCAGTACTTGGTCATGAAGCCCTGGCGAACAGATACATGTGCTGTCTTCCTTGCCGACGTTCCTCTCAGGGGTCAGGCAAGGTGTCCCGATTTATGTCTTCTCCATGCCCTTTCCCTGCCCCCACTTGGGTGTCCTTGCTGCTGAGGGCTGCTCTCCTGTGACACACTCAAAAGGGCTGACACAAAGTAGTCCTTTGATTTAGAGAAGGAAGAGAATACACCCCAAGCTAAAGGTGGAACCCAAATAAATAAGCTGGTTTCCAGGAATTTAGGGGAACTCTAACATTAAAAAGCTAGTTTATTTCACAACAGTTAAGACAAAATCAATGGAGGCTGGCAGGTCATAAAGGTGAATTAGCCGCTCTGGTGTCTGGAAGTGCAAATTGCTGCCGGCTACCCTGTCTTGTTGCACAAATGTTCTGTTTTGTCAACCAGGGAATGAGGTCCAGTCCTATCAAGGTCTAAGCATCTTTCTGGTTAGCATCAAAGTTTAAATTATTTTAGCTTTCCCTTGGACTTATCCCTTCTTAGGCTTGATTTTTCCTTTGGTATGATCAGCTCCTCATCCCTTAGGTGGCAATCAGTTAAAAAGTAAACACTTAAATCTTATTGGAGTGAAATGCTAAAACCAAAGGACACAAAAATGCTTATGTCTAGGGGATTGGACGGGCTGTGTGAAGCCTTTGAAATGGGTGCCCGACTTCGTGCTGCCTTCAGCTCCTCTGCCCCGTCCTCCCCGACCTGCTCTTCCCCCTGTCTACAGCACTTCTCCCTCACGGTCACCATCAATCCCTCTTTGCCTGGGTTAGCCACTCCTCTGAGTTTCACAAGGGGTCCTCTGTAAGGTCGTCCTTGATTCCCCATCAGGGTGAGAGACCCCCACACTGTGTTCCCCAGCGCCTCATATTCCTCTCATTGAATTCATCCTGCAGACCATGGTCTTCTACTTGCCCAAGCTCCAGGCACCTGGAAGGCAGTTCTGCTGCCCCGGGTCCGGGCTTGGCTTTGTACAAAATGAGCACTTATCAAATGAATGAGAGAAGTGGAGAGCCAAATAACCACAAGGTACATTTTAATTATCTTACAACTTCCTGGGTCAGTTATACTTCCATGAAACTGAAAGTTTAAAAATTTTAATTCAAAAAAATAAAAAACAACATCAGGCACGCAGTAAATAATCCAATAAACATCCTTTCTCCCCTATCCTCATAGATAAGAAAGAAGGACACTCCCTATAAATAGCTTCCAATAAACTGTAAGCACCAAAGCAGTGGTAAGTGAAAAATGCTCTGACCGCACTAGAGAAAAGGTTACCTGGATCTCCAAAGGAAAAGAAAATTTCACAGTGGCATGAAAATAAAATGATTAGCTATGTAAAGACAAAGCACAGGCTTCATTTTCCATTAAACCAATGGGTTTTTTGATGATTAAAGAAAATGTCCTTAAAAAGCCATTATTAGGAAGAATTTATTAAAAGCAATGAATTATTTGAGTTCTATCCTCCTTATAACATGCAAAATATCCTGCCTACCCTTACCTAGTTATTTGCTCCTCTATTGTAGCACCATATGAGAACATAAGTAAAAAAACATTTAAAAGGAAAAGTTTTACCAGTTCCAAGATGGAATATCATGTTTTTTAATAGTTTGAGTTGAATGAAAAATGTATGTTGATTACTGGAGTGAAGCTGTTAAATACAGATTATTCAATAATATTTACTGAGCAGCTACTATAGTGTCAGATGCTACACAAGGTGCCCCAGGCTTATTTTCTCTCCAGGTTTATTTTACCTGCTAAGATTGTGAAATGCCTATTTTTAAAACTCCTTAATTGAAACAAATCTACTCTGGCAGCCTTGATAGGAATAGAGTATTTTTGAGGAGTGATGGAACAAAATGCCTCCAAAGAACACTAACTACCCAAACTTTCAGTGGTTTACCTATGACCAGATGACTGGAAGTGAATGTATAGTCACAGCTCTACAGAGTAAGAGTCATTCCATGCTTAAAAGCGTTCAGGAATAGCACACCTGAATTTTTTAATAATAGATGCAACACATTTCTACATTTAAAGGCATAAAACTTGTCTTTGAATTTTGGAGTCTTAATGTTGAAAACCAAGTAATTCATAGCTTGTAACATGACTTTACAGATTTCTGCACTTTCTTTGCCATGATTCTTTTTGGTTGCTAGAAACAAAATTATCTACAACTAATTATCTCCCTCATTCATGTGTTCAACAAAGGATTTATTAACTCCTACACCCAAAAAAGCAGTCAAAACCAAGCACGCCTCTCTCTCTGCGCTCCCGCAGATTTTTGCACATTCAGACAAGCTGCCACGCTTGGTAACTTTGGACTTAGCCTCTCAGAGACTGTCATGGGGTAAGAGTTCTCTCCTTCAAAGGGTTCTCATGGAAAACAAGCAGGTGGATAGATTAGAGCACTTTGAATCATGTCGGGTATATAGTAAATTCTATATTAAGTGTTATTACTAGCCACCACCTAACAAGCAGTATTGTAAATATTTGTTTCCAGGTCTGTCTTACTCATCCACTAGGCTGTGGACACCTTAAAAATCCTGTGGGTTTTTCCCCTTTTTTTGTACCTGCAGGGCCTAACATAATTGGTGCTAAATAAGCATCATTTAGATGGATGATGAAGACATCAATGAATAATTGAATTAAGGGCATTAGACACTAGAGAATACACATAGAAATCAGGCACAGTGCCTTCATCTTGTGGAGATGAACAGCATCTGCACAGTGAAGCATCAACACAAGTCTAACTGTGGAAAAGTGAAAACAAGAATAAACCAAATGCCATGGGAAACAGAAGACAAATGATTAACCCCAACTCAGAAGACTAGAGAGGCTTCACAGTTACGATGAACAAAGACTTCTCCTTTCACAAAACCACACTTGTCCCAAAAGGGAAATGTAGGAGTGCTAATAAGAAAGCATTTGTCTAAGGGTGTCAGGGGTAGAGGCAAAATGGGTGAAGGAGATTAAGTACAAACTTCCAGTTATAATAAATAAGTCATGGGGATGTAATGTACAGCATGGGGAAGATAGCCAATAACATTGTATTAACTTTCATTTCACAACATATACAACTATCAAATCACTATGTTGTACACCTCAAACTAATATAATACTGTGTGTCAATTATATCTCAAAATAATTTTTAAAAAGAAACAAAGAAACCCATTGGCTGGATTTGAGCTCGTCTATGACCCTGAAATGTATTCAGTAAAACAAAGAAAAATCCTTTTCAGGCATGTCCCCTAGAAAACATGCTGAAACTCTGAAGTCAGGTGCCCTTTGTCTTCTGCAGTTCTGAACCTGGTCTAAGGAATTTGTTATAACACAGAAGACAACTGAAAAGTGTGATAACGTGAAAGCCTAGAGTACACAGCAGTTATTTCTTTAATTTAGGTTTCCTAGTCCTTCCTTACATCAACTTAATGTGAGTTACTTTTGTTTCCCTTAATCCACCAATAGCAGAAACAAAAAATATCAGGGGGTCTTTTAGAAGAGGTTGCATTACCTTACTGGGAAATAGAGGTAAGAGAAAAAGGGTGCTCTGATACCAATCTGTCTCCCACTTAGTACGTCCTTGAGCAAAAATTAAAAGACAAATTCTTATGCCTACTTAGGACTGGGATAAATAATGGAAAAAGAGTAAGAAAGACCAAACAATTCACGTCCCTACATGACCTACAGCAGTTCAACCTCAGAAGGCTATTAGAGTAAATAAGCTTAAAGAGTACCGATTAGCGAGTTTACAAGGAGCTGTAAATACCCTGTTTCTTTTAATTAAAGATTCTATTATTTTAATAACAATACTTTATACTCACACAGGGCCTTTCATCTACAGAGCTCAAAAGGGTTTTACAAGTGTGGGTTTATCATCATTATCCCCATTTCAGAGACTGGAAAATGGAGACCCTTAGTCATTTGTACAGACAAGAAGTTCTCAGACAACTGTTCAAACACTATTTAGCATGCACATTTCAAAAGCCCAAAGACAGCTGGAACAGTATATTCTCAGAAATGCTAACTAGCAAGTAAGACTTGTAAGATGAACGGCTAATGCCCATCTCCTGAAATTCAGCTCTTCCTGACAATTAAGTCCAGTAATTTTTTTGTTTCAATTGATCCCTACAGGAAATAGACCAGTTCTCTCTAGAAAATTTGAGTGCAAAGTTTAGGGCTTTTTCCCCTTCAGAGTTTTTATTTATCTCTATTTATTAAGCTAATGTCTTCTACCAGCTTCAAGATCGTGGATACTATGATATGTTTTTATTTTAATTTTGTGTTATTGTGATAGAGCATTTAACATGAGATCTATGCCCTTAAAACATTTTTTTGTTTAATTTTCTTTTCTCTTTTTTTGTTAAGCCCTATTTTATTACTGGCTCTAGAAACAATGTTCTACAGTAGATCACTGAGCTTATTCATCTTGCTTAACTGAAACTTCATGTCCCTTGGTTCATAACTCCCCATTTTGCTCTTCCTGCACCCAGCCCCTGGTAACCACCATTCCACTCTTTGATTCTATGAGTTTGAGTATTTTTAGATACCTCACATCAGTGGCATCATTCAGTGTTTGTCTTTCTGAAATTAATTTATTTTCTTAGCATAATGTCCTCCAGCTTCATCCATGTTGTCACATATTGCAGGATTTCCTTCTTTTTAAAAGCCAAAGAGTGTTTCATTTAATGTAGATACTGCTTGGCTAGGATGTGGAAAAATTGGAACCCTTGCGCACTGTTGGTGAGAATGCAAAATGGTGTGACTGCTATGGAAAAAATAGTACAGTTTCCTCAAAAAATAAAAATAGAACTACCATATGATCCAGCAATCCCATTTCTGGGTATTTATCCAAAAGCACTGAAATCACCATCTTGTAGAAATACATGCACTCCTATGTCATTGCAGCACGATTCCCAACAGCCAAGAGGTGGAAGCAACGTAAGTGTTCATCGACAGATGAATGATGTCTTTATTTTTCCATTGAATTAACAAAGTTTAGGGTCATCAATAATCTGGTTGCAGGAAGCTAATCTACATGTCTCCCTTAATAAATTGTGGGTGATCTACAAACATCCCGGGGGCCTATATGCAAAAGAATAATGATGTCAGAGAAGATGGTTTGGGGGGGAGGTTCAAGATTAGGTTTAAATTCTGAGGACTGCTTCCCAGTCCATGAAAATGCTACCCTTGGAAGGCAAGCAACTCACTCTTTGGAGGAGAAAAAACTGAAGGACATGTGTCTTGCTTTGGGACACATGACACATCACAGAATGGTGTTTATTGTGTGTGTTAATTACCTTTCCAGCTCAGCCACTAAAGACTTAGACTGCTGCCCTGAGACTCAAAGGAAAAAACCATCTAGCCAACAGAGGTGGAGCCATCCAAAGCTGTTAATGGGAAGAGCTGTGGCCCTGAATGAGTCGAGGCAGAGAAATCACCGAGGAGGGGAAACAAGCCACAGCCTGGTGGTGGGTCTTGGGGCACTCATGGTCTTGACAGTGGCTGGACATGAAAGCCATGCACCCTGAGGAAGCCTGGCTTGCAGGACAGGCCTTGTTTCTGCCATACTGCCTTGTAGGTAGGTTTATCCTCCCCAGAGCAAGGGAGCCCTTTTTATGCTTTGAAAGTTGGTCGCTGTGACCCTAACTTCCTGTCGCTTCTGGAGGAAAATGTGTCAGCATTCCTTTGGGAAAGGGAGATTGCCATTATGCCTGCTATTCTGCCACTCTCTGTTCTTTCCATCCCCACCTTAAAAAGAAAAGACAGACAGAAAGTAAAACTTGTGCCACGTCAAAAAAAAAAAGTAGACGATGATAAGAAGGGTTAACAGTTACATCTGATTTCCTAATATGTTCTGCCCCAGAATTCTATGAAATGGAGAGTCCCAACTTTTGTAAGCTCGGACAGTTTACCACTGATTGATCTGGGAGTAATGTTCTTGAGTCACAGACAAAAGAAGTGACTGTATAGTGTGGCTTCCAATCACAAGGGTAATATGAAACCTGGTATTTCTCAGACTGAAAAGCCATGAGAATCCACGAGATAATGTCTATGGAAGCAAATGCTCAATTAGCTTAGAAAAAGCCAGATAGTATATATTTAATATGCTATTTAAAACTTTTGTCACAATGAATACCCAAGGCAAAATGAACAGTTCCTTTGAATCATCACAGAATTAATAATATGACCACAGAATGTTATGAAGCCAAAATTGTCTAAAGGTTAAAAAAATCTCCTCTCCTTCCTACAACAATATCACAGCCTTTATACCTTCCCTTAGTTTACCTTTTTACACCCTTATGTAGCTCAATGATCTGTATTTTCCTATGTCCCAGCATCCTATGAGAACATAAGTAGAAAAACTAATTTAAAAAGGAAGCATTCTTAGGCAGCTGGCCCCTGCAGAGCAGAGTCCGAGGATTTTACCAAAGTTGCCACTTATGCTTTTTGTGTTTCTCATGTCCTGCCAGCCGTTGCGTGTTTATCACTGCTGTGCACGGCTGCTGAACCCCGAGGGTAGCGCTACTCCAGAGAACTGGAGGAGACTCAGACAAGACGGGGGAATAAGCAATGCCCACGGAGATTTCAAAGAAACAGGTATTAAGAGAGATCAAGGTCTAAAAGAGGGACACTGAGCAAATTCTGAAATGCCCACATCCAGGCCAGAGAGAGAGAAAAAAGCCATTGTCTCATAACTCTTCCTTCCCCAGCTCTCTGAAGAAGCTTGTTCTGCCGAGAACTTTCCAACTTTGGCCGAGTTACAGCTCAGGCCAAGCCGTGCCCTGCCCCAAAACCTGTTCAAATGATTAGAAATGCTGAGACAAGGCCTGGAACACGCCTGCCATGGACACCTGTCCTCTCGTTGCCAAGCCTCGCCCTCCCACCTTTCCAACAAGTGCAAACGCATGTCGGACAAGGAGGACACTGACTGCCTGCATCGTGAACAGACTTGCTCTGAGTTTCAAAGCTGAATCTGGAGCCCTTCAGCTTCTCCTACCAGCACACAAGCCAATGGTGTGCTGGCAGGAGTTCATATAACCAGGCTTGGCCCGTGTAACATTTGTTTAGTTTCCATAACAAGATGTACCAGAGGGTGTGAAGAATATAACCGAGACACCAGCCTGACCCTATTTGCCACCTACAAAAACACAAACTGGATGTACCTGTCAAAGCCCAGTCTAACGAGCTCTTCCTTAGAAGGGGCTCCTCTCCCAGAGGGTTCTGCCCACCCAACTGGAGCCTGCCCAGTGCTGCCCCCCCTCACCTGTGCACCTGCAGGTCCGATCAAAGAATTTCCTTGGCCACCGTTCTCGGTCATCCAGGTTTCGCAAGACGTAGGGACCACTCCAGGGCCTGGTGTCAGTGGGCACCTCAGCACACTGGCCCCGGCCCTCCTGAGAGCCACAGACATTGGCCGGCTCCGCTCCCAGCGGCGGGCAGCACTCCTTGGACAGCAGGCTGTCCACGGTCATGCAGACCCTGGGGAACTGCGCCCAGGCTCCAGGCAGGATTCCACAGGCCAGGCAACTGAGCACCAGCCCCCACCGAAGGGAGCTCATGGCTTTATGATTAGGAGAACTCTCTCTGGCTCTCCACTCCTTGTGTTTAGACTGCCTTCCTCCTTGTCTTTCACTCTCGAGTTTTTGAGCATTCACTTGGTTTTCAATTTGGGGTCTGGAATATTTTTCCTTTTGATATATTTTTGTTTTGCATTCTATTCCTCTCCTTATTAAAAAATACCCACAAGAATCACAGCTCCCATGTGTGTGCGCATGGGTATGTGCACATGCACAGACTATTTTATGTGATGCACACAAAACAAGTTTAATTCCATTAGAAGCACCTCCAACAGCCAGATTTAATGAGGATAATGCTTCTCATCATCTTCCCCCCGTTAAATCAGGCTTTGTCTAATTGAGTTAATTTACGGAGCGCTCCAGTCATACTACTTATTATACTGGCATTTCTAAACCCCCTCCCTCCTCTTTAGCCCATGACTTTAATTGCCTTGAACTCAGTTCAAAAGCCAAACACCATGCTGCCTTTATTCTGTTTGGTTTGCCAAATCACGGGGCCTTGTGGGGTGGGTTTGTGTAAAGGCTGGGAGAAGCCATCATTAGTGGGTTTAGCATTAGAAAAACACTCACTGTTAGCACATGACCCAAAGTGCACAATGAAGTACATACAGTTTCTGGCTTTGTTTCAAGAGGGCAAAACCATCTTCATTATCTAGGCTCATGTGCTCCAGCCAAGCTTGTGGCCTCAGACTTCCCCGGGAGTCAATAGAGGCAGTGAGCTCCTCAAAGGGCCTTTACAGACAAGCACGCATTGCTAACTGCAATTCACTCCTGACTGCTCCCTGACACGCTAGGAGGACCACGACAAGAGGTCACACAACTTCAGAAATAAAGAAACATTTATTTAGGGCTTACGTACAAGGGATTGCGTTGTTCCACAATTAGGGACCCTCTTCCCTTCAAATAATCAAGTTCTATTCTCCCATTCAACACATCTAGGCAGCAGGGTTTTTTTTAATTACACAAAGTACATGCCCTCAGAAATTCAAAATGATCATTATCCGATTGTAGGGAAGGCAGTGGGACAATGTGGAGCAAGGACTTGCAATTGACAGCTTTTGACTAATGTTAAAGTTAAGCATTATCAAGCTTCAGTCTAGAAGGCAATGCCTCCCCTAGTGCTTCTGGGGGTAGCCAGGGGATAATCCAGATCAGTAGTGGTGGCCCTCGTCAGAGCAGCCACCTGTCCCCTCATGGTGCAAACAGGACTGTCTTAGGGCCGGAAGAGCCTGCACAACAGCTGATGGAGAACTGTTTCAGACAGTTTCTAAGACTACTTCGTATTTCAGCATAAAGATACGGAATGTTATGTCCAAAGAAAATTCCAAAGGTTAGAAAAAATGTTCTTTAGATGTTCCTGTCCATGTACCTCTGCATTATTCCCATGCTACGAAGTTGTTGTGACTAGTTAGATGGCAGTTCTCAGCTGTGACTATACAGCAATGCCAGCCAGGACCCTGTGCCTGTGAAGCAGAATCTCTGAGGGTGTGGCTGAACTAGAGCATTTGCTGTGAGCTCTCTAGGCCATTTTAATGTGTAGCCACAGTTGAAAACCACTTGGGTCCCTTCTTGTCTTGCAGAGGGCGGTCTGCGTGCTTCCGCTCCGCCTGGTCTTTCTTCTGTGCACACACTGCAGCGCCTCCTTGTGGGGCCAGATTTCCTCTTCTCATGAGGTCCCCAGTCAGACTGGGTTAGGGCTCACCTTAAATGGCCTCCTTTTACCTTAAACACCTCTTTAAAGGCCCTATTTCCATTGACAGTCACATTTGGAGGCACTAGAGGTTAGGGTTTCAACATACTAATTTTGAGGGAATATAATTCAGCCTGTAACAAGGTCTAAATGCAAGAGTTTGCTTGCACCTCTATTAAGTGCTGTTACAGTAAATTGGTGTGCCAAGCAATGTAGATTTCTTCCATTCCCACCTTTGTCTTAACCACACATTGGTGGGCTTGTCGTCATTGTCTTCAGAGCCCACTCCCCCATGAAAATGACAAAAAGAGCAGAGGTCTAAGGCAGGACCCCGGGGCATGCCACTCAGAGGCTCCCAACTCCTGAGCTACAGCGTACACTTCGGGGGGTCCTCAAACATCCTCACATTGTATGGAGAACAGAGCCACGGGTCTTTTTCGATGAAGAAGATTCATAGATTTGGTTAGCTTCTCAAATGGACCCATGACTCTGACCTTGAGACTTCAGCACAGGAAACCCTTAGAGTTCACTGAGCTACTCCGGACACCACTGGTGCTTCCGAAGGAAGCCATGCCCTTAGCCAACTGTCTGCTTGTCTGCACTGGAGGAATTGACACCATTTGCTGCTCTCCTCCTAGAATGGTGGAGGCCCAGAGTTGTTGTGTGCTCACTTAGGCTTGGATGAAGAGGCTTAAATGGATGGTTAGGGGAAAAGGCTTCAAAAGGCTGCAATTACATAAATATAGTCTAGCACATCATAAGCACTTTATAAATATTTGTTGAATAAATAAAACTTCATCTGTGGTGTCCTCCCCAAATCCATAATCATCCTCCATAAAGGCAGAGCAGTGTTTATCTATCCCAAGGAAACATCAAGTCTGAGTTTCCACACCTTGAAAGAGAGCAGGGGAAACAAATTGCCCCAAGGAATAATAATAGTAATGCTGGATAGGTGAGAAAGGGTTGGAAGAGTTACTGAGATTTGACCTGAAGCAGAATTGCAAGGGAGCGACCGAATGCTTTTCAAAAAGTTGAAGAGATTTACTTGGATTTGACAGAATGTGGCTGTAGGCTATGTATATGTTATGATTACCTCAAGGTCATTGGATTTTTGTGTCCTTTTTAGTTCCTATTATTACTTGATTCTGGCATGTTCGGAGTAGGAAGGCAGCCTAATGTAGTCACTCTCTGCTCTGCTCCAGGCGCGAGGCTAGGATCGGGCCGGAATAGAATTAAGAAGCCTCATCTGATGGAGGAAACTGGCTGATGTTGAGAATTTTTGGTCTGTCCTAGGCTTACATTAACTGAATTACCTTTTGGTGTTAATACATCTGCTTACATATGTTATGGGAAAACATCCTATGAAACTTCTAAGGCATTTTTTTTATATCATGTAACACACTTCACAGTGTCATTTTCATGAGGATCCAGAAGAGAGACTTCTCTCAGGGCTCAGTGTCCAGAAAAGCTGTGCTTCCTCATAGCAACTGGCTTGTCCTGAAGTTTAAAACCCTGTGCACCTTAGGATAGTGTTTCTTTCTTTGCCTTGGCTAGAATGGAGCTTAGAGCCAAATTTGCAACCCCCCATGTCAAGCAACCAATTCACACAGTATCTACTTTGATTACTTCCTTCCCTTATGTTCCTGGACTCTGAAATTCTTATTTTATCCTTTTTCAAATTTATGTACTTCTCCAGCCTTTCTAAAATCTCTTGAGAAAGGAAGCAGAGACATACATACGAGCACACGTGTATTTCTGTGCAAGTCCAAAGGTAATAAACACCCAGCCAAGTTGTTGTTTGTAAGCAAGCAGGGCTTAGGTAGAATTCCTGAGAAGTTGGTGTAAGTAATCAGAGAGCAAAGGACAAAAGCCAAGATATCAAATCACGAGTGTGGCTGTAATTAAATATTGCCTGATTTACCAAAAGAAAAGTCTTTGTCAGAAACCAAACAGCAGAATCCAGGAGGGGATATTTCATGGGTGTGTTGAGACCATTTGTTGCCACTGAAAGCTATAAAATCAAGGTTTATTCTGAAACCAGTAAAAAGAGGCAGCTGTGTATCATAGAGCTAAATAATCTGACAGTAGAAAAAAGTGCCTTCTTAGAAGGCAAAACTTTGGGGATAGGATGCCAGCCCATGCCTTCCCTACATTCAAAGGAGGAAGAGACTGTGCAAAGCCTGCTAAGCAATTGAATGAGGTGGTAAATGTTTTAGAGTTGTTGCTAAGATTAATACAAAAAAATCATCTGAATCTTTCTTCTGCTTGTCAGCCAGTCACCTGCTCTTTTCTCTATGCCTGTAAATGTGAAAATCCTTCATTTTAAGTCCCTGCTGGACTCCTCTGTCTGACGCTTTTGATCTCCTCTCTGCTGCCACATCATGGGGAAAGAGATCATGTTTTTGCCTGTGTCCAAATTGTTTCCTAAATGCTAGGCATCTGTCCCGATAAGGGTTTTGCTTTCTACATCTAAGAGCTTTTCTTTTCTTGGTGGTGTGAATTGTTCTTCAGAGGCATTAAGAGTTAGGAATGGGCTGTGTGGTTTCTGGTATTTCAACTGAATGTTCATTTTCCCTCCTGCATGCATTTTTTGATAGTCTAGCCTTACAGCTGTATTTACATCAAACACATTTTTTTTAATTTCAGATTTTGCATCAGCCATCTTTATAGTGCATCTCAGTCCTTCATTATGCACACTTGTGCCCTCCAATTCTCACTTGATCATTTTGTCTTCTATCCTTCATTGTGGCAATGGGTATTTCATTTGGATTTTTTTGTGTTTACCCCTATAATTTAATGACTGGCTTGGCTAAGTAATATAGCTACTCCTTCTTCAAAATGCAGATCTTTTGAATGGAGGGAATCACTCCCCTTTCTGCCCACTTCTGATCAAACCCAGCAAATACCACATATACATTTGTAAGAGATTGTACAGACTGATAATGTAAACTTAAGACTGTCTGAGGTCTGGAGGGATCACCAAAATACAATGTCAAGTGAAAAACATAAGGTACATAACTGTGAATTCACATGTGAAGGGGTTGGGTTGGAAGGAGAGAGAGAAAGAAAGAGTGTGCCTATCTGTCTGTGTGAGTAAATGTCTCTTGGAAGGGGGACTAATGGGCAGGGTCCATCAAATTTGAAACCACTCTTATTAATTTCAAAAGGTGACAAAAAATGAATTCTACCATTAAAAATAAGAAAAATAAATAAAATAAATTGCCTTCCCAAAATACTTGACCTGAATCTGATGTTTTACACCGAGCTCATTTTTTTCTATGTACTATCAAAAAGCATCCGACCGTGGAGTCTGTCTGACACTCCACTTGAAAATGACTCTTTATTTAATCTCAACTGCACTAATTCAGTTACTTTTAATAGAACAACTGCACACACACACACATGCGCACACACACACACACACACACACACACACAACCCAAAAGAATAACTCTAAACTTCCAATTCATTTTATAAGCTATAAAAAAGAGATATGTTCTTACAAATCATGGCAGGCAACTGCCTACTAAATGTAAATTAGGCTGTAATGAATTTTTCCTTTCTAAAAAGTGTTCTAGTGTAAGAAACAACAGAACAAGATAATTTC